CGGAGCACCACAATTTTTTGACACTAATCACAACAGGGTTGCCAACTGAAAAATATATTTCTTATATATAAAACACAATTTACATCAGTTAATTTCACAACACATGGGACGTCGATCAGACGACTTAAACAATTAGTGGGTCCTCTATGAGTGACGATTTTAGTCTATATTGACAGTTTATTCGACGGTGCGTTGACACAGGAAACGCTTGCATTCACGGACGTTTAACACTACATTGAAGATAGATCGATGGGGGCGATATTTGCAGCGATGCGATACAGGAATACCATCTGTTCTCTCTGCTGGAAGACGCACGAATACGTTAGAGTAAAGGGAAGGTTGGAAACACCTCTTTAATTAACAGCGAACACGAACACTTCTCGAATTGAAGAGCCAAGGGAACGTTAGAAACCCCTCTTTACAAAACAGAGAACACGAATACAAAAATTGAAGAGTCGAGGGAACGTTAGAAACCCCACTCGACTCCACAGACATCACACACTCCTCCCTGAAGTAAAGGGAACGTTAGAAACCCCTCTTTACAAAACAGAGAACACGTGAATTAAAGAGCCAAGGGAACGTTAGAAACCCCACTTGACTTCACAGACGTCACACACTCCTTTCTAAAGTTCTAAGTTCTCAATTGCTTTTGATTGGTAGCAAAACCATATCTCTAATCTGGTTTCCACGACGTTTTTGGTTTTGTGAAGCCTTAGTAAGGTTGCGCCGGACGATAGAGAAGACTTCTTTTAATTCTAAAGCTCTACCTTCAGGTTGGAAAATTCGCGCCCCTGTTCCGGGGGTGACTTGGTCATACAATGGCCGGGGTAATCTGGGTTCTCTACCTTGTGTCAGGTATGCTGGACAATATCCTGTTGATTCGGAGGCACTGGTGTTCAAAGTGCGTCTACAACTACTACTACTATACTTCCCTTTCCTATTTTTGACGACGAAGTTTTATTGCTGAAGTTCGAGGGCCCAGCGTGCTAACCTTCCCGATGGACTTTCTATCGAATTCAACCATTTGTAATCACGACGAATTGATACCCTTCGTCTCATTTGACGAATACCCCAAATAATGGGGAGGCACTCCTTTTCGATTGCGGAGTAGTTTTTCTCCGCCCCATTTAAATGTCAACTTATATATGCTATAACGCGCTCTCCACCATCCAGTTCTTGCTTGAGAACCGCTCCCAGACCGAAAGCACTTGCGTCCGTCTGCACGGTGAATGTTTTACTGAAGTCTGGACATGCTAGTACGCGTGCCTCGGTTAGCCTGCGTTTGAGTAGGTCGTCTCCCCATTTAAAATGTTCTTCAGAAGGCTGGTTAAGGGATGCGAGATGGTGGAAAAATGTGGAACGATCTCCTGTACCACGATGCCACTCCGAGTAATCGACGTACTTCTTTGACCGACGTTAGCGGTCTCATATCGGCTATGGCTGCAACTTTTGAAATCCATAATGAGTCCTTTGGATGTTGTACTAAGCTTATCACACTTCACTTTATAATGTGGTAGTGCGTTCAGTACACATACAACCGATTTTCTCACCTTAGCCAGATCCTCAATAGAAATGGTACAATGCTCGATTTGTCCAACTTAACGATGAGTCCCGCATAGTTTAGTGTTGTGAAGAATTGCTTAAGGAATTCCAATCCCAAAATGATATTTTCCTTAAATTGTCGCATGATTGAAAAGGGCAGATCGGTAGAGTGGTTTCCAAATGTCACTCGGAGCATAGTCGATTTGGTTATGTTGACGGTGGTCCCGTCGGCTAGTATAACATCTTTTGCTTCTATTTGCTTTCGCTGATAGTTCAGATCCTTCTTTAAAACTTCGGCGGTTTCTCTGGCCATAAAGCAACTCGTAGCTCCCGTGTCGATCGTTGCGGCGACTTTACATCCTTCAATGATTGCCATTGCCGTGAGACGATGCTCCTCGCATGTGAGGTAGGTTCCGTTGTTTACGCCTCTTTTTGCTGGCGGTTTCGCGCTAGGTTCCTCCTATGTACACAATCATTCCTTTCCGTTCGGGAAAAGTTTGTCCTGGTATGTTCTGTATTTCGGCTACTATGCGGCTCAGGACGGTTCGGTTCACAGCGGGTGGGATTACGTATACTTTCTAATTCTTCAGTTAACTGCTCCGAAGTACATCGGTGGTAAAAAGAAATTCAATTCAATTCAATTCTGGAGATAAGTCTCAGTCATAATTTTGCTTCGAGTTTAAAAAATGACTCTTGGTTCTGGTTTTGTCCGTTAGCTACACTACCTGGACGGGCAGTCTCTGGTAGTGTATGGGTAAGGTCTTCATTTTTCACAGCCAAAGCCAAAGCACATCTTCGTCAATTCGTGCCCAATACGAATTGAGACCGCTCCTGAACGTAGTGGGGCCAAAACTACCCTGGTTTGCCTAGGCATGCGACGGTCTTCAGCTGCAATGTATGGGGAGGTGGACTCCGATTATGGCATTCATACTATAATTATTAACTACCTCTGCGACTGCTTCAGTATGAAGGCTATTCAGACTCGCTTGATAGGCTTCATGATTTAGGAGCTCTCTCTTATATCGCTGGACATCTTTCTCTAGAGCAGGCAGGTCCTTCCTGACACGCCTGTGTTGGGGAGTTCTGCCCACGAGGCTGGGATGACTCCCACGATAACACACAAGCAGGTACTGCAACGAAAGCATTTGATTTTGCTGACGTCAGGGAAGAACCTTCGTCTCCTAAGTAAATGGTCCACAGGTGTCATGAGGAGGAACCCTGTTGCAGTTCGCAGGGCGGCATTCTGGCAGGTCTGAATCCTTTTCCACTGCGTTACACTCGTATTCGCCGACCACACTGGAGCCGCATAGCTAACCACAGAGCGATCTATCGCTTTATAAGAGGTCAAGAAGGTTTCCTTATCCGCACCCCAAGTGCCGCCGGATAGCGCCTTGAGGACCTTGCTCCTACTTTTCATTTTATCGCAGATAGCTGTGGCTTGCGCGGAAGACTTGAAAATGCTATCGAATGTGGCTCCAAGGATTTTTGGGTAGTTGGTGGTCGGAATTATTTGCCCCTCGACCTGCACACTCAGCTGTGTTCTCATCTCCGCAGTCCATGTGGTAAGTGTAGTGTTGCCGTCGATTTAGTGCGGATATTTTCATATTCCTCGCATGAAAGAAGTCGGCAAGCTCCGCGAGATAGTTGTTCACCCTGACACATATGTCATCAACTACAGGACCCCACGCCATGATCGTACAGTCATCCGCATATGTTACGATGTCGATGCCGTCTGGAGGGCGCGGAATTCCGGAAATGTATAGGTTAAACAGTTCCGGAGATATCACCCCACCTTGGGGAACTCCCTGTTTCACTCTACGAGGCTTGGACTTCTTATTCCGGAATTCCACGTGCGACTGGCGTCCACACATATAGTTGACTATCCAACGTTTCAAACTTGGCCGGAGGGTAGTATTCTCAACGTCCTCGAACAGCGTGGCATGGTTGACCGTATCAAAGACCTTTGATAGATCGAGAGCCACCACTACTGTTCTATGGCACGGCCTGTTCTTGTTGAATCCTCGACTGATATGTGTGGATATGGCGTGCAATGCTGTTGTGGTGCTATGTAGTGGACGGAAACTCTGTTGTTGGTTGGCAACTGAATAGCTTCCTTTGATACCGGGGAGGAGTAAAGACTCAAGAGTCTTGGCTACTAGCGACAAAAGCGAAATTGACCTTTGCTGGCATCCTTGCCAGGCTTCAGTAGCGGGACCACCCTGCCCATTTTCCAGGTTTCGGGAACTATGTGGGTGGCTAACGACAAGTTAAGAACTTTGGTTAGATACTCAACTCCCGGTGTATCCAGTTGCTTCAACATTACCTTTGATATTACGTCCGGGCCCAACGCTTTAGATGACTTAGCGTTTCGGATGACATTCGCAACATCATTCATCGTAAACTGTGGAGGTACATCCTCGGCGGGAAGAGCTCTTATACGACGTAGTACTCTTCGTCTCGCCTTATCACTTTCGGGGTGCTCGACAAATTGAGACGATTATCGGGAGATGGTCTGAGCCAAGAGAAATGACGGGTTGCCAAGTCACGTCATTTATCAGACCGGGTGACACAATGGTTAAATCTGACACTCTCCTCTTATTCGAGTGGGGCATCCTCGTTTACCGAGCAAAATGTGGAGCAGTCAATCTGCTCTGCCAACGCTGATCCCTCTGGTCATTACCTAGGACGGAATGCCACAACTCATGGTGGGCGTTGAAATCCCCTAGTACCAGGCGGTTATTGCCTTCCAAAAGTGGGATTATATTAGACAAGTAACGTGGTTTACAGCTATTAACCGGGGGGATATCCACATTAAGCACCTCTACCTCGGCAGTTCCACACTTGACTGCTACCCCCATTCACACCATGTATTGGGTCACTAGAGACTAGCTTAAGCGAGATAGGTCTATATTGAAAAGAATAGTGTAACAGGAACGCTAATGCCCACCTCTACTTCTGGTGCGATCTTTCCTCATTGCAACGTTGTAAGTTACAATTTCCATTGAGCTTGGTTTCCTGCACCGCTGTGATCTTTATATTCGTAAAATTCCTAAAATGCACCCTTCCTCCGCATCCATTGCATCGCACCGAGACTGATCTATGGTGGATGATGTTTTGGCAAACCGTACAGAACCATGGTCCGGGGTTTTCCTCAAACCCGGCACGGACCAAAAGAATCCGGAGCAAGCATTCCGGGATGTGCTGCTCCCAATACAGAAAAATAAACAAGCACGAACATGTATACACGGGGATGATTCATATGTAAGTTCTACTTGAAACATTGATTGAAAAATATCAAATAATATTTAAATACATTATTAAAAAGTACCTTAATTTCGTATCCGCATGTCTGCTTTTGACAACATTCCCATACGCTAAACTTAGTTAAATAAAAATAGATAGAGGAACAACACCATCTTATTGATAAATAATTCCTTATTTAATTCTTTTATTTATAGATTAATATACTAACCAAAAACAGAGCTCTTGGAGACAACAAACATCAAAATCAAGTAACGGAGCTATTCGTAGACATTCGCATTTCTTTAGCCACAGCCTTGTTTAATTGGTCGGCTCAAAGAGGATTGCCAAAGTCGAACACTATAAAATTACTTAAAAGTTTAGTGCTATATAAGTCCAAAGAAGCAAACGGAGAAATGGAAAATACAACTCTTACCATGCTCATGGCTCTACTCTACTCGTATGACACCAGTATTTTGCAAAAACAGGATGACAACCAATTGATACAAAATTTATATGTTATAAAAGACCGCGAATATGTGCAACAGATATATTCAGCTTTAATGGCTGAATCAAATTCGGACCTAAACAATGGAATTTTGAGTTTAGTGAAATTTTCATTCGGCTTGGCGATTTCTGGTTTGCGCCATGCATCACAGTATTTTCACAATCAAACATCAATATCGGACTATGACGAACATTTGGTAGATGAGGCAATTTGTTCAAACATATTCAAATTCATTTATTGTTATCTACTGGAAAAGAATATGACATATCAGTAAGTTTTTACACAATTTTATAATCAGCCAAAAGGTTTACGTACATTTTTATTTCAGACATCAATTCTTCTATAGAAGAGTGCATATGTTATTTACCGACTTTATTGATTTCATGCATTCCAAAGTAACTGAACTACGTGGAAGAGCAGATGAAACTTCAAAGACTGTTCTTAGTTTTACCAGTCAAGGTTTGGAACCGCCAAAAAATTTGGATCATAATTTTGAAATGCTTCTACTGTGCATTGGGAAATTTTATGCTGAAGACAAGGCTGGACTTTCATTGTGCTCCGAATATTGGGGACCCCTAGATTCTTCCCCAAATTATGTAACAACAACTCGATCTGTTTCACTTTTTAAATTCATACGCTTAGCAGGAGAATTACTTCCTGCAACTTTATTTGTTCCTTACTTAAAAATGATTGCTGGTTTATCCAGCTGTGAAAGGTCTTCTCGAAGTACATTCAATTTACTAAAGCAATCAACTGGATTAACCGGCAGTGCTGCTCTATCCTGGGAGCACTTTTTTTCTTCATTAACACGATATTACACGTAAGTACAAAAACAACATAATTTCATACTAACAATTTGTAAGAAAATTATTATTGGAAAAGTTAACGCAAAATTTTTAATCTGAAACTGGGCAATTTATTTATATATTACAGAAATTTAAAACAAGATTTCTACCCTGCTGCTGAATTGATATACAGAAATAGAATAATAAACCGTAATATAAATCCCCAAGAAATTGAGGGTTTACGAGCGGTATTGGAGGTATTGCGCGCTGTGGCTTCTCATGATGAGGTAGCAAGAATTGCAATTTGCGAACATCCTAATTGGAATCCTCTTTACACATTAATAGGTACTAGGGCGCAAACTGAAAATAAATAAAAATATTTATTTTTTTATTCTTAATTTCATTTTTAGGACTGCTTAGTTGTTCCGTACCCATATACTTAAAATCTGATATTCTATTGACATTAACAGCTCTGGCAAAATCAAAGGAGACCGCTATACCACTATGGAACAACTTGGAAGCTTCACAAATTATAAAAACACTTCCCTCCAATATGAACTACGGTAAAAAAAAAACTGAAGCACCATGTAAATTATTTACAAATTTATTGCGACTTAACGTTCTAGATACCTGTAATTTAGAGATGGAAATTGAACAAAATGAATGCCGGCTGGAACATTATCCACTGACTAATAGCGTACTTGATTTATTATATGCTCTGGTATCCACGGTTATACCCAAAAATTTGGGTGGGGGACCAAGAAAACCGGGACTTGATCCATATTTGAACTTTTTAATCAACGGAATTTTTTTGAAATTTTATAACAGGTAATAAATTATGTAACATTTTCTATATATTTTTTTAATCTCCTTTAACGAAATAATATAAATTTAATAACATTTGGTCGTTTTTATATACTTTATACTGTAATACCAATGTCACCAAATTTAGTGCTCTTTAGTACTTTTAGTACACTTATAGTTTGAATTTAAATCTGCGATCGTCATTTTAGTACAACATTGATTGACATTCAAAGGCAGAGAGGAAAAAGGCAAGAAGTATTTGCCTTACGAGGTTTACATTGGAATAGTAGTTTTGTTTTGCCTTATTATGCTAGCAGGCTAAACTTAATTAGATTGCCTACAATTAAAAGCAGACTTATTATGTTGAACTCCATGTTTGTACTAAAAATATTAAAGGTAATATACCTTCAGATTTCCTAATCTCATCTATTAGAATAAATGTTCAGTTTAGTTCTAGTATATACTACCAATTATTATATACATATTTTCACCGCACGAATTATTCAATGGGCGAACCTCTTAGCAAAATATGTGTTGACTTTAATTCTGTGTACTGTAGTGCAGATTTTGGTATAAGTTTAGAAGTTATTTAATCTAGAATAATTTTATTTTTAAACAATTAAATGCATGTTTTATTATTTGACAAACTAGCTGATGAATTAGATTATGTAACTGGTTTTCAATTTCCTACTAAATTCCCATTATGATGCGGATCATGATGTGTACGATCCCTGCCTAAAAAAGTCGTCGCCCCCCTCGGTCGGCAGGGGTGGGAATGTGAGGCGTGGGAACGTTCGATAAAAGAAGAGAATCATCATGCGCTGAACAACTAAACTTTGTGTCAATGACTACACCTAATATATCATCTCATCTTCAAATTAACAACAAAGGAGCCAACACAGATACATAGAAAACAAAACGAAGTCTATTAAACAGAACGGATTCAGTCTTATTCCAATTGACAGTCAACACATAGTTTTGTATGGTATATACATTTGAAAAATTCATATATAATTGTTGTTTTTCTTTTACATTCGTTTTCATTCAAAATACAAGCATACATCCAAGATAATGGAAAATATTTCCCGAATCTCTGGAACCTTCGAAGCAGAGTTTAAACTTAAGTTCAGAACATATTGCAGCAGGGTACTTTGCATCTATAAAATATTGTATCTCATTGCCGCTGCTGACAATTTTGGATGTAGGATCTCTTAAAAATGTAGGATCAAATTCAATTCTGTGATTTTGTTTTAAATTGCAGATTGATAAAACACACAAATACTCAACATAATAAACAAAAATATTTTGTATATTAAAATAGTAAAGAAGTCTTATAAAAAAAGTGCTGCAAGTAATAGTTACTAGCGCGAATTATTTGCGTGGGTGGTATACATTTTATCATTCACTTCACTACATTTTGCTAAGAACAATACCTTTCTGATCAAATCAATGACGTATCGAAAACGTACTTTTTCCTATATAGGAAATATATTAAATAGTAGATTTTACTAAAAATTTTGAGAAAGGCTTGTTGCATTTGTATAGACAGTCACGTGATTCCAAAGTGTGTTGGACGGAGTTTATGTTGCATTTAGTACATTTATTGTCTATTTTTTATTTAACATATGTTTATGTGTGATTATTGTATGCCCCTTCCGTAGACAGGACAATATACATTTTTTTAATCCCACGGCAGTGTTTTCTACGATACCGGATTGACCCGAAACAACAAGATCCCAGTTTCGGCCAGCGGCTGCCAACTCAGTATGTACATGTTTGTGTTTATTTATTTGTCTGTATTGGGAGCAGCATATCCCGGAATGCTTGCTCCGGATTTTATTGGTCCGTGCCGGGATTGAGGAAAACCCCGGACCTTGGTCCTGCTCGGCTTGTCAGAACGTCATCCACCACAGATCTGTTTCGGTACGATGTAATAGTTGCAAAGAATGGATGCACTTTAAGAACTGTTCCGGACTATGGCCTTTGCGGGACTACAGCGAAAGGGATTCTGTTGCGACTTGCTGCAGTAACGCTGGGGACCAGCGAGTCCACTTCTTCGTCGTCCTCATCAGAGACGTCGTCGGAGTATGGAACTTCACCGCAGTCTCTAGAAAAGCAACCAACTCCGCAGCACCTAACGTCACATGTTGCTGTTCCAACTCCGGACTGTGCATCATTCTTGCAATTCAATTGCAACGGACTCCGAGGCAAAATAGATGAGATAGTGGATTTTATGAGTCGAAGGAATATTAAGATCGCAGCGGTGCAGGAAATCATGAATGAAAATTGCAGCCCACAACGTTGTTATGGTTACAACGTACTAAGGAAGGATCGCACCAGAAGTAGAGGTGTGGGATTAGCGTTCCTGTTACACTATTCTGTTCAATACAGACCGATCTCAATGCCCAACATGAGTTGTGGCATTCCGTCCTAGGTAATGACCAGAGGGGATTAGCGTTGGCGGAGCAGATTGACTGCTTCACATTTTGCACCGTAAACGAGGATGCCCCACCCGAATAAGAGGAGAGTGTTACAGTTCGCCAGATTTAACCATTCTGTCACACGGTCTGATAAATGACGTGACTTGGCAACCCGTCATTTCTCTTGGCTCAGACTCCATCAGCAGATCGCCCGATTTCATAACCTCTGAACGCCGCACTTTCCTTAACCATGGCCTGAGTTCAGAGAACTGCCCAACCCTTCTGATGTTCGGGTAGCTGAAAGGATTTTCCGGGACATCATTAAAACTGCAGCCGCTCGCTATATACCTGCTGGTCGAATAGGCGAAGTAAGACCAAATTTCCCAGCAGAGGCAGCAGGACTAGCGAATGAGCGTGATGAGGTCCGGGTTACCAACCCTACTGATCCCAGAGTCAGTGAACTGACAGTGGAAGTCAACAGGTTGGTACAGGGGCATAAGCGGAAAAAGTGGCTAGACCATCTGAAGTGTTGCAACATTGGAACCGATTTGAGTAAACTGTGGGTAACGGTAAAGTCACTCTCGAACCCTGGAAAAAATTATGATAGAACATCAGTCACATTTAACGACGTAACGGTGACTGATCCGAAAAGGTGCGCCATTCTAACCGCCAACTTGTCGTGTACCCCGAGAGTGATAGGAGGATGTACCTCCACACTTTACGATGGGTGATTTTGCGAATGTCATCCGAAACGCTAAGTCATCTAAAGCGTTGGGCCCGGATTTAATATCAATGGTAATGTTGAAGCAACTGGATACACCGGGAGTCGAGTACTTAACGAAAGTTCTCAATTTGTCGCTAGACACCCACATAGTGCCCGAAACCTGGAAAATGGGTCGAGTGGTCCCGCTACTGAAGCCAGGCAAGGATGCCAGCCAAGTTTGAAACGTTGGATAATCAACTATATGTGTGGACGCCAGTGGAATCCCGGAACAAGCAATTCAAAGCCCGTAGAGTGAAACAGGGAGTTCCCCAAGGTGGGGTGATATCTCCGGAACTGTTTACCCTCAACTTTTCCGGAATTGCTCGCCTTCCAGACGGCATAGATATCGTAACGTATGCGTATACGTACGATCATGGCGTCGGGCCTTGTGGTCGATGACATATGTGAAAGGCTGAACCCCTATCTCGCGGAGCTCGCCGCATACTTCCACGCGAGGACTATTCAAATATCCGCCGCGAAATCAATTGACCACACTCCACACCACGGCCACACTCTTTACCACATGGTCTGCGGAGATGAGAACACAGCTGAATGTTCAGATCGAGGGGAATCTAATGCCGACCACGAACTACCCCAAGATTCTAGGGGTCACATTCGGCAGCATGTTCAAGTCGTCTGCGCAAGCCACAGCTATCAGCGACAAGATGAAAAGTAGGAATAAGGTCCTCAAGGCGCTAGCCGGCAGCACTTGGGTTGCGGACCAGGAAACCTTGTTGACCTCTTAAAACGCGATAGGACTGTCTGTGGTCAGCTATGCGGCTCCAGTGTGGTCTGCGAATACTAGTGCTACGCAGTGGAAGCACATCCAGAACGCTGCCCTGAGAACTGCGACAGGGCACCCTCTCATGACACCAGTGCACCATCTACATGAGGAGGCGAAATTCCTTCCCTTACGTCAGTATAATCATATGCTTTTATTGCAGTACCTGCTTGGGTGTTACCGTGAGAGTCATCCCAATACGGTGGATAAATCTCCCCCACCCAGGCTTGTCAGGAAGGACATACATGATCTAGAGAGGGAGGTCCAGCGCTACAAGAGAGAACCTCTAAATCAAGAAGCCTATCAGGCAGGTATGAGTGGCATTCATACCGATGCAGTCGCCGATGCTATTAGCAATTATAAAATGAATGCCGTCCTCGGAGTCCACCCCCATCCATTGCAGCTGAAGAACGTCAGGTACCTAGACAAATCAGGGTAATTTTGTTGACCTCTTAAAACGCGATAGGACTGTCTGTGGTCAGCTATGCGGCTCCAGTGTGGTCTGCGAATACTAGTGCTACGCAGTGGAAGCACATCCAGAACGCTGCCCTGAGAACTGTGACAGGGCACCCTCTCATGACACCAGTGCACCATCTACATGAGGAGGCGAAATTCCTTCCCTTACGTCAGTATAATCATATGCTTTTGTTGCAGTACCTGCTTGGGTGTTACCGTGAGAGTCATCCCAATACGGTGGATAAATCTCCCCCACCCAGGCTTGTCAGGAAGGACATACATGATCTAGAGAGGGAGGTCCAGCGCTACAAGAGAGAACCTCTAGATCAAGAAGCCTGTCAGGCAGGTATGAGTGGCATTCATACCGATGCAGTCGCCGATGCTATTAGCAATTATAAAATGAATGCTGTCCTCGGAGTCCACCCCCATCCATTGCAGCTGAAGAACGTCAGGGTAGTTTTGGTGCAATTACGTTCAGGGTGGTGTAGTCGGCACGAATTGATGAAGATGTGTGTGATGCCTGCCCGTCGTGTGATACAGGCCCTCACAATACGCTGCACCACCAGAACCAGATTAGCAGAACGTACACTTGCCTGTACTACTGCTACAACAATAACAAACAAAATTTTTTTCTTTTCCACGACGGTGGGAAAAATTGCAGCTTACAGCGTTCTTA